TCAGTACTTCATCTTCCACTTTACTGACTCCGAATGAGTTTTGTATATATATATATATATATGAGACATCCTCCACCACGCTTGCAATCTCTATCTGCACGGTGTACAGTGCAATCATCTATACCTATATGCCCATCAAGTATAGAGGATGAGCAGCATGATTCAGTTATCAGAGCTACATTAGGCTTGGTGATTAATAATAATGTCCTTACTTCAGATATCTTGTTGATCAAGGAACGTGCATTAATTAGTAATATAGTAAATAAGTCACGGGATACTACAAACTGGCTTAAAATATCACCATAACCAAATTCTATTTGTGCATCAGCAGGAGAGGAGTTTATGAATGATAAGGGGGTCAGACTGTGTGTCCATACATCTTTCAGTGAGGCTTTATTTACAGGGATACTGATATGTAAATCAGTTCCTAGTTCCACTGGCAGGCGTGGTTGCTGTGTGGTTCGCTGAATGTAACTGTCAGTACTAGGTGAATGTTGCTACAGACGATCCACTTCTGGTAAATTTAAGCCAGAGGAGGTGACCAGATTATTACCACACATTATTGTGCGCTGACACGGTTAAAGACTTATAAGTGCTATTCAGTCTTAAGCGATCCTGAAATTTAGTAAACTTACTAGCATCAAGAGAATTACTGAACTTAAAAATGATGGAACAATTAGCCTGTGTCGACTTTTTACGAAGTCTTTTGCATTCACATGGCACACTAGCCATGCCGCAACAATCCGGGATTTTGTGTTTTATAGTCTTCAGAGGTATTGAGTCTGGGATGTTGTGAACTATAGTCTGATGAGAAGAGGCTATACGGCTCATCACCTCCGAAGCCAAGCGGTCAATGAGGTTTTCAGCTTTACTTAGGTTGTCCGGAGTCATTTTAGGATGTTTTCTAGCAGGCAGGCTATTGGGTCTAAATCCAGTAGAGATTTAACCTGGCCATTATCAGAACGGTTTTCCGTGATATTTGAGATTAGCAGTGTCAAGCTATCAAACTGACCTAATTTTTCGTGAAGTTCACTTACTTGCCTCTAGATATCTTCCACAAGGCGGTTTAATTTACAGAACTCAGAGTTCTCTAATGGAACATCTTTCACCTGTATCACAGGAGTGAGAACTCCACTCGAGCCATTTTGTGAGCTAGTAGCTGATACTGTATTACAGGGCGGTAATGCAATTATAACCGAGGTTGAGCCACTATTTAAAACAATTGTGTTTCTTCGAACATGTTTTTAGAAATTTGGACCATAAATTTAACGATTACATATCACAGAATATGAATGAAACCATTTATTGGTCAGGTACCCTGCTTGTGTCGCAGCAAGCTTGTTTAACAAAGTAGGCCTGGGTACATAGTCAAAAGCTGATGTGTAATTTAGGAAAGCACACCGAACATATTTGGCATCTCTCTCTAAATTAGAGACAATATGAGATAGGTCGACAGTGGCACCTAGAGTGCACCTACTGTGTTCCTATGCAAATTCAACAGAGTCGTTGGTAATAATAATAATGATAAAATCCTTCAATGAAGGTTAGAGATTATGGAAAAGCAGTTTTCCTATTATTTAAAAAAAAAGTGAAGTAATGACAATAGGTCTAAACTTAACGCTTGGTCCACTTGATGATTTAGGCACAGGAACAATTTTAATGTCCTTCCAAGAAGCCAGCACAATATTAGCGGAAAAGGATTTATTAAAAATACCAGTGAGAGAATATCATAAAATGTCAGTACATTTTCTGAGGATAGTAGCTGATACACCATCTGGATCGAGAGACTGGATAGGTTTCAAGGATTTCAGACACTTCAGGATGTCGTCTGTATTAAAACCGGAGAAGCAGTCATTATTTACACTTGTAACATTTGAGATCACGACGTCTGCTGGACACAATGTGAAGGACTTATTAAGCGAACCCGCATCAAGTGAAGAGGGATCATTATTTATTTGCTTACTACAGGTGATTTACTTAAACGACTTATACATGTTTGATTAGGTTCTGCATGATGAGAACTTTTGGTAATATACCATATTCCTGATTTAATTAAAATGTTCAGCCTCTTATGTACGAAATTGTAGGAATAAAATGAGTGACAATAGTAAGAAGAAGAAGAAGGACGACATGCACGACAGATATACCCAGAAAGGTGACAACACCAACTATAGGGAATATAAAACATCAGTAGTCCTTCCATACCAAGAAGGAACCTTTCGTAGAATTATTAACAAAGCGAGAATAAAAGTGGCATTCAAACCCAAAAAATTACTTAGAAACTAATTATTTCCGTTGATAGATTCTGTGAAGTCCATTGAACAAAATAATCTAGTGTGTCTCATATCCCGAAATAGTTGTGAGGTCAAATATATACTCCAAAGTTGTAGAACGGGACCGATAAGACTAGTGGAGCACAAAGGCCTGACAAAATCAAAATTAATTGACCTTGATAAGATAAGAAATCTAGAAAAATGGCTCAGCCTTAGCACCACATGTAGTTGCACACAACCATAAAATAAGATGGAGACAACATAGCGCTCTCAACATCCAGTATAACAGAGTGGAGGCAAATATTGATAGCTGAAGATTTATGTATCGAATCCACTGAAAGTACACACAAAAGAAATGACTCAACACCTGTCCCGGATATCTGGAAAATTCTTCTGCCTCTACGACAAATATGAAGGAAGGAAGAGAAATATGAGAATCAATTTTCGAGGTCGTGTATTCACAGCTGATATGATTGTGAACGATAAATTATCGCTTGGACATCACTCCGACAATAATAACATTTCACCATGTGATACATTCAATAAATATATTAATACAGAATTCCTCATCCAATCCTTGTTGGCTTCGACATTGTCGTCCGTGAGGCTTATGTGTAGTTGAAACGATGCTACCTAGCCAGAAAAAGTGAAAGAGACGATCCCCAACAAATTTCTCCCAAAGATGACGGTTAGTGTTTGTTGTTATTGGTCGGATATCTCTATCACCTCTATCTTCTTCACAAGCACCTGAGGTCGCACCTTCGTGTAGCTTGCGAAATTTCCGCTTTAAGAAACATGAGGCATCATTTGTCTGTGAAATCCAGATCTCCTATGGTTAATCGCTCTGTCCAACGTGTGCACTTCCTCTCACTGCTTGAGGTTTATCGGATGGTCCGATCCCCCACAATCGTTAAGACAATCGGTGATAGTAGACAGCCTTATTTCTTACTCCTGTTTTCATTTCAAAGACTTCGGTGACCTTTCCCTTGTGAATTACTTGGCACGCAGCATTACCATAAAGCTGCTGAAGTAATACCCTCAGAATAGAAAAGCATGAAGGCAAGCCTACTGGAAATCTGAAAGTCATGTGAGTACTTTGATGTGATTGTTAGCAATGAGTTGTAACTTAATCATAAAACAGTTAATAAAATGGAGTTGTCTGTCACATTCCCAATGCACTATTTCATCCAATTTTCATTATCATAGAACAATCATGACAACTGAAACGATTACAGTAATTAGTTTTGTAAAATACAGGTTTCTTAGTAGAAGAAATCATACGGGGATTATTGCAATCGGGGCGTTTACGTAAGACACTGCGGTTATTAACTTTATAAGTTACTAGCTAACAAGGGGAACGTTTTAACACCAAACAGTAAATGGTATGCGTTCAGTCGTACATTCGATGCTATTATGATCACCTAATAATAGTTAGTTAGAACTTAGTTGACCAGAGCAGAATTTCAATGTAGTAAGGCTGGAAGACAAAATTGTGAGAACTGCTGATTTGGACTGTCAATCAGTTTGTCGCATCTTTCTTTATGGCTGTGTAACATGGCCAGCGAAGGTTCCAGTCTTCAGTCTCTAGTCTTAGGTGGTAAAGTATACTCAGTAATAATGGGGTTAAGTGTAACGTTAGGCAAGCCATGGAAGTCAAGCGATGAGCTTGGTAGCTGCATCGATCGGGATACCTAAGACACGTGTTACGCATGTCAAGCTATCACCTTCCCCATAGAGCCATGTAAGGCGATATAGTATTGGGTTTGAAAACGGTTAGGGGATGAGGTATTGACTTGCACTTGAATATAGTGATTACAATTTCACTAGTTCGCAAACTCCTAAACCAACTTGAAATAAGTGAGAAAAAAACAACTAATCCACTGCTGTATACCATTATGGACTCATAAGAGCTTTGAGCAATAAAAATGAGTGACTTGCATAACAGAAAGTTTGTGACAAACAAAGGATATTGGGATTGTGTCAGGATAGCTAAATATTTTGCAAGATTAGTCAAATTATCTTTGAGTGATTTCAGTATACAGATACCTGTTTCCATAGATAAATAAATTCCTTACTTGGGTTCGATTAATAATATTACAAGTAGCTGAAGACATAAATTGATGTTATTTGATATATGGTGACTAGCGGTGAAATTCAAAATGCGCATTCCATCCTATCTGGGACGTGTCATCTGGATGTGCCCACGACGCCAGTAAGTGATGGTGTTCCCATCGGGACTCGAAACCAGCACTCATCGTGGCCTAGTGGCTTTGGCGTTCGAAAAGATGGGTGTCAGGCCTGAGTCTTAGTGGGAATACCATCACTTACTGAGGATCTAAGGCACATGAAGCTGATGAGTTCCCGATTTCTTAACCCACAGACATCGTCGAAACATCTGTGGTATGAGTCGACATAATAACAGAGGCCGGACATTTCGGTTTTATGGAATAAATCAACGGGAAGTACTAAATTAACTGGAAAAAAAACTATCTGTTCCAAGTCAGACTGGTCTAAATATTTCTGTGGAAACTCAATGGACGTGTTTCAAGGAATATCAACTCAACTTCTAGACGTTTGATTTATAAAATGATACAACAAAAACCAAATTAAGCTTAAAAATGAAATACTATTTGCCACTGGATTTCCATCTTCATCACTCCCGTGAGAAGCTGAATTTGATCTTGCTGACCGCAACTTCTTCACGAATTCGTTTCTATTAGTTTTCACCTCCAACAGCATGCGCTTCTCTTTGATCAGCTCCATAGTGGTCAAATTAGATCTTTTCGGTCTCCATGTGCCAGAAATTATTCGCCAAACAGTAGCAGCGCCTCGGCCTATACGATTAGCGATGAATTTAACAGTTTTTCCGGCTTCATACAATTTCAACACTTTGTTACGTTCCCATATACTTACGTTGCGCGATTTCTCCCTAAAGCAGACTTAGAATATCAGGGTTAAGTCAAATAAGTTAGAACCATTACAGATCCATAGGTTATGAAAGTAGTGTGACAAGTTGAAGTACCTGATTTCAGTCACATTTTTCATACGCCCGATAAGATATCGCTTTACTGTACCTTCAAAAATAGGATAATCAAAAAGAAAAAACTTCATTAAGCAACAAAGCCAAATATTAATCTACAAGTTTAACCCCTGTGAGAAGTAAATTACATCCTCAGGATAGCAAATATCTATCAGAATTTCGTCAATAGCTGCTAATCAGAAATTACTGAGAGTGCAATGATATCATAACGCTTTAAAGATCATCTTAAATATAAGATATCCTTCAACAAAAGCTTCCTTATTCACAGTGGCCTAAAATCTAAGTAAAGTCGGAAGTGACACCCATTATATTCGCAACAGCACGTGTACATTTTAAAAACAGCAACAACAACAACAACAACCTAGTCACCGCTATGCAAAATAAGTGAGTAAAAATACAGTCCAAAACCAAAAGAGTATATCTAAAAATAAATGTCCAGTAGAGCTGGTAGACAGACCAACTAAATACTAGCATCAGTACTTACAACTTTAAAACATTTAATACACCCTAGGCACCAGGAAAGTATATAACAACAATATATACAGAAAAGTCAAAATGAATGCAGAGGAAGAGAATAAACACATAAGTATTCTTTCATACTATTAAGGACATGCTCGCTGTTTTATACTAATTCCGACTGTAAAAAATTAGAGTGTTGCAACATGACTTCCATCAGTTCCAAAACCGAGTAATATATAACGTCACAAGATCTCTCGGGTTCCATTAGAGCATTCACGAAACCCCAAAGATGCTAACCGTGACGACACATCAGGATCCTTCGAACTACTTTCCACAGTTCCAGAAATTGTACGGATAGTACTGCAAGACAAGTCCACAACACCAAGCTTACATTCCCAGAAGATATCGCGACTTTCACACCCTCTAAAAGAGGGATGCACGACCGGGGCCCTCGGGACTCTAAGAATCAATGACTGGAGACAATAGGTGACATGGCTCAAAATCGTTGTCAGTGGCGCAGATGTATTCAGTCTCTGTAATATTTCATATTCCTTTCTACCATTACTCATTCTGTTTCACTCTTATACTTGTCAAAACTCCATTGATTCTCTTCACTCATTTTCTTCTTTAGCCTTGTGTGCGAGGATATGGTTTTTTAGTGACGTCCTTACCTTCCAAACACAGGCAAGCCCCAGAATTTTTAACATCCTCGAAAGAAACAACTCTTAGTACTACCCAAGGCTGCAAACAGGTGTCAAATGTTTGTTTTAAGATCACCCAAAAATTTCCCAGTGCATCCGAAACTCTTCTTATCTGGGTGGTGCGAAGAGAGGTGAACAAAATTGCAGAAATCAAAACAGCAACTCCTTAGGAACGCGTAAATAAGGAGAGCAGGACTGCATATATTTAGCTACTGAATAATCCTAACGACTAGAGCTAATGAGGATATTTCATTTCCGTTGCTTGGTGAAACGTTCTATTCGAAACGTCTCAGACAGGCCTAAACAGGCTTGGACACATGAAATTCATACCTACATTTAACGGACAGTGTCCCACATATTTCAAGTTTTACTTCGAGGTACAAGTATTTAGGCCTATTTTAATCCTCTCCTGATAAGTATCTCAGCTTATTCATTCTCCTCTTGAACAGGTCGATTGAGGCTACAAACATTAGTGCTTCCGGGAGTCGCATCCACGAGTTAACGACTCCGTAAGAGAATCAGTGCTTCACTCTGATATTGATCCTGCTGTCTGAAGTGAAGACAGACCAACTCCACATTAATTTCTGATAATTTTGAACATCCTGAGTAGATGGTCTGTCTGCTTAAAGTATGACGAGATCACAGATACACAACTTCATTCCTCATTGCTGTAGTCATACGCGTTACTGCCCTTTCAACTCTTTCTATAATGAGTTCTATTTTTGGCGAAGGTTGGTTCCCTGGAAGCATTTTTCTAGTCTTTACCGCACCAGATTTATATACGGAGTGGTACACACTTCACCGGTGATTCTACTAAAGGTTCAGGGATCTAAGGCTACGAGCTGTCACTGTGTGCCACAGGCTGTAGGCTACGATTTACGGTGATGCGTAATTCCATGTGCACCTGAAATGAAAGCAGTGTAATTCTGTATGTCACATTCAGTGACATTTGCGTGCACTATTCAGACTTCGATACATTAATGGGAGTATGAATTCTTTCGACCAATCTAACTGATTGTTGTGATTTGTTTGCGACGTAGGCATGTGGTTGTTAACAACACATGGTATATTATAGTTACCAAACTGTCAGAAATAAAACGAATGTGATTGGTTGTATAACATAGATAAATGCATCAAAACTGTCTAATAGGATTAGCACGAATATCAAACGATATATATGTGTTTTGAATCTGCAGCATTTGCAGGTCTGACATTATGGAAGGTAAGCTGCACTCCCTAAAGTAGTTGTCATTGTGAATGGCTACCTCAATCGCTTAATCACAAAATCCATGAAACCTACAACACCCAGACCGCCCACAGTCTTTGCGCCTAAATGACGTCTCTATCGGAATCTACAAAACTAATGAACGTGAAGTTTAAGCTATAATTGTTGACCTCATCAGTGTGTATCTATCAATTCTCTTGCTCATGTGGAGCTAGGTATATTGGCCGTACTCAGCGTTTGCTATCCAAACGTATGATTGGAGGCTTAGCCTCATCGTTTTATAAAGGTTACAAAATATCCGCCTGCAGAACTACTCTGGAATACCTGATCCAGATACATCAAGCGAAACCTCAAATCAGCTTCAAAGTCATCTACATGATACACGAGGATCTTGCTGAATGAGTAAAAATCAAACTTCTTCAAACCGCAGAAGCGATGGCAATTCACACGATAAATCGCGAACTCTGCATTTTAGTGGCAGCCTGTTAGAACTTTGGGCTAGCTAAACTTCCATCTATGCATTGCATCTAATTTGTTTTTATTTTTCTCTGTCTACGGAAGTATGACATCAAATCGTGTTATATACCCTCGGGAAGTTTTAGAATTTTTAAGACCAAGTGACTTTCAGTTTTCTAACAAAGCTAAGAAGAAGCATCACGACGGTTGGTAACGAAAATTAAAACGCACACCTATACTTCGTACTAGTGTTCCTGTTATCACAAGTACCAACTACTGTTCTTTGCCGACCAAAATTATGCATATGTAATCTATCTTATCCTCTGATACTTATCACAATACGGTTATAATCACGCTACAAAAAACTTGACTTCACGAGCCTTATTTTGACACTCTTTTTTTACTCAATGGTTTCATATTATTTAGACAAGATAGGTTTTCTTCCAAATAGATATGTGGTGGTGGGGTTGCAAATTTTATTCTTCCCCAGTGGTCGATTTCAAACAATGTATGCTTCACTTTCTCGATTGACTTTATTGATTGTATTACAGTCAAATGTCGTCCCAAACACTCATCACAGCATAAATACATTTTTATCTGAAACATTTACGTTAACCCTGGCTGTTCCCCCTCGGATATGTCCAATTCTGTAGACAAATTCGCGGTTTTTTCCTGCTGGTTATCTTGAGAATTCTCTGTCAATAGTCATTGGAGACTTCAATCCCCATGACTGTTCTCTCCTTGAACCACTAAATCATGTTAACATTGTCATCTGCACTACTCGACTCGACAAAATACTTGATTTATTGTCCAATAATAATGTTGGAGTATATGAAGCACTCAAACGTGCTCCAATACTGAATTCTGATCATTGCATTATTCGAGTGTCGCCTCAAAATATATGACAAGTCGTACACAATTGTCTTTTCTCACCTTTGCAAGAAAACGCAACAGATTTCCTACTCACAGGAGAATATACATAATCTTGGATGGATACTGAATAACACTTACTGGGAACTATTTACTGAGCATACATTGGATGATACAATCACTGATAAAATTTATTATCTTTAATTCTGTCTGTTGGTCGAAACAAACACTGTTCAAAAGATTTGACTGTTTGTCTTCACCTCATCTCAAAGAGCTACACAGAGAAAAAGAATGGTTATATAAGTTTAAAGATAATTCTGAAATTTAAAGGATTAACATGCTAATTAAATTTGAAATCCGAAGTCTGAACGCTATTCGTAACCAAAGACTTTTATCAAGTGAAACTTCCTCAAGCATGTGAAGACTTTTTAGTAAAATTACTGGCAGTGGTAAGCAAAGTATCACTGTTCCCTCTGTTGGTGTAAATAATCCTAAAAAATCCTTCCTACCCCCTCCTACTGACGTTATCATTCCTAATCCTACAAATCATAAGGTAGTGGTTTTAACAATATTGATGTACTCAAATGTCTGAAATCTCTAAAACCTTCCAAAAGCCTAGGTCCCGATGGTGTACCTGTTGTTGTCCTAAAATGTGCTGACATTTTACGTTATCCTCTTACAAACATTCTCATCGCTTCTTTTTCCTCGCAGTAGCGTCCCCAGTACGACCACCTTCGGATCCTTAACACCCACCAACTCAGCGATGGCTTCAAAGTCCCACAAGAAGCTCCTTATGTCTCCCTCCTCGAAGGCAGCCCGTTATGGAATCTTCATTGTCTGGAGGCAGCGACACTAATTGAGACGGCAGAAGACGAAGACTTGGTAGGGGAATTTTCGTTTGGAAATTGGCATCTCTATAAAACCAAATTATGTATACCTTATCTGAAACGAAACATTTGCACAGATCTTCGTGTTGTGGTACCTCTCGGCTTCATGTTGTGTTTCTTTCACGTCTCCATCGTATTCCCGCAACGCTGTATCATTTGCCCTCTCTGAAATCAAATGTATCCCCGTGCTATTTCATGTTTTTATGTCAATGAACGTCTCTTTACACACTACTGATAAATCTTATCAGTAGCACACTCAACACTGGTTGAGTTGATGACGGACTGATATCA